GGTAATACGCAGTTACAATCGGCCCGAGTTTACACGTTTCCCGCACTCCACCGCAAATCTATATGAACCGAGTTAAAGACGGCTCCCGCGGAGTACGCGCAATTCACCGAGCCGACTTAACTCGTTTCCTGCACTCCAAGTGTTAAGAACCCATTGTGGCCCTCGAGTCAAAAAGTTTGCCCACCCCTGGACTAGATAATCGTTAAAATAAAAATCAAGTGCTTAATACATGTAGATTGCTACTTCCATTATTAAAGAAGTTCGCTGAATACTGCATTATGAAATGTCCCCTATCATGCCTTATAACCTCCATGAATTAAAATGCTTCAACAGCCCTAACCGGTTTGGCTCAGTAGATACAGCATCAGCCTGCGGACTGAAAGGTCCCAGGTTCGATTCCGGTCAAGGGCATGTACCTTGGTTGCGGGCACATCCCCAGTAGGAGGTGTGCGGGAGGCAGCTGATTGATGTTTCTCTCTCATCGATATTTTTAACTCTCTATCCCTCTCCCTTCCTCTCTGTAAAAAAAAAAAAAGCAATAAAATATATTTTTAAAATAATAAAAAATAAAATAAAATGCTTCAACATCTTCCCACGGAACTCAAAATGTTAATTCTAAGCTTGAACCCTCCATAACGTTGACTATGCCTACCTCTCCAATAGCATCTCCTGCCACTCTCCAAAGTTCACCTTGCCTCAGCTATGACCTTCTGACAGTTTACAGATTTTTTTTCTGCCAAAAGGCCCCTGCAGACATTTTTACCTAGGCACAGAACACTGATGAATATATGGTTTTACAAAGCAGTTAAATCATAATGTGTCCCTAGACACATGAAAAGTTCTGAAAATATGGAAAAGGATGTAAAGACAGCATTTTTTTTTCTTCAAAGTATAATGAGGGCACGGTATGAGGAAAAAAAGTTGACCAAAATTGTTCTCACCTTTCTCTTAGAAAAACATTTTCTCAGAATTCCCTGAAAGACAGGGATCAGTTGCAATGAAGATTTAAAAAACAACAGTTAGCCCAGCCAGCATGGCTAACTGGTTGAGCATTGACCTATGAACTAGGAGGTCAGGGTTCAATGCCCGGGTTGTGGGCTGGATCCCCAGTGTGAGGTGTGCTGGAGGCAGCCGATAAATGATTCTCTCTCATCACTGATGTTTCTCTCTCTCCCTTCCTCACTGAAATCAATACACTAACTTTACACAACTTTCCAATCATGTATCTATACTCATCTCTATTAAGTCCAACTTTATTTCATTCTCACATTTAAAAAAGTATCAAAAAAAAAAAAAAGGAAAGCCTAATAGTTCAGAAATGAATGCTACAAAAACGTATCAGTTACCAGTTGCAGATGGTATCCTGAAGAAATCCAAAAATACTCATTGGTGACTGACTACCTGGAATCTATTGATTAAATACAATTCTTCATTACTACAACTTCCTTCCAGAAAGTAAGACTAAATTAAACATATAGATAAACTAACCTCTCTTTCACTAATTACTTGACTGAGCCTCATTCTCACTGACATTTTCACCAGGGCCACATAATTTACAATAGCCAAGACATGGAACACAGTCCACTGACAGATAAATGGATAACAAAAATGTGCTGAATGTAGTGAATGGAATAGTAAGAAGAAAATCCTATCATTTACAACAGCACAGATACACCTAGAGGGCATTATGCTATGAAATAAGTGCGGCCCTAACTGGTGTGGCTCAGTGGATAGAGCGTCGGCCTGCGGACTGAAGGGTCCCAGGTTCGATTCTGGTCAAGGACATGTACCTTGGTTGCGGGCACATCCCCAGTAGGGGGTGTGCAGGAGGCAGCTGATGGATGTTTCTCTCTCATCAATGTTTCTAACTCTCTATCCCTCTCTCTTCCTCTCTGTAAAAAATCAATAAAATACATGTAAAAAAAAAAAAAAGAAAGAAGTGCGAAAGATAAATATTGTTTGATCTCATTTATATGTGGAATCTAGAAAAACTGAACTCAAAGGAAAAACACAGTTGGGGGATGGGAGTAGTGGGTGAAGATGATCAAAAGCTACAAACTTACTACTATATAAGTTCTAGTGTGCAATGTACAGCATAGCAAAGATAATTAACAATACTGTATTATATATTGGGAAGTTGCTGAGAATAGATCTTAAAAAAAATCTCATCTCAAGAAAATAAATTGTGCCTGCTCAGTGGTTGAGTGTCAACCCATGAACCAAGAGGTCACTAGTTTGATTCCTGGTCAGGGCACATGCCCAGGATGTGATCTTGATCACTAGTAGGGAGTCTGCAGGAGGCAACTGGTCTATGTTTCTCGTTTCTTCCATCGATGTTTCTATCTCTCTGTCCCTCTTCCTTTCTCTCTAAAATTTAAAATTTTTTTTTAAAGAACAAAACAAATTTTTTAAAAAAAGAAAAGAAATGACTATGAATTCATGGATGTTAAACATTGTGGTAGTCATTTTGCATTATATACATACATCAAATCACTGTGTTCTATACCTTAAACTAATACAATTATATCTCAATAAAATATAAGTTATAAATGAACAAACCTTTCCTTCGTTGATTATTTGACTGAGCTTCATCCTCACTGGTATTTTCACCAGGACCATCTAGTTTTGTTTCCCGGGTCTCTTTGCTCTCACTGTTATTTCTCTTTTCAACTTTGTCTTCTTTTTCTTTCTTATTTTGTAGCTTCTTATTTCCTTGGTTGATGACACTCTGACACTGCAAAAAGTATTTCTGAATGAAATAATTTTCAAGAACATTTTCACTAACATACCCAAAAATCTGTGGTAATATGCCTTACCTAAATATTGCAAAACAAATGCCAATTTTTAAAATATAAAAAAACTTCTTTTCAAAAGGCAATGTTGAGAGAAAAGTCAAGCCATAGATTGGGAGAAAATATTTCCTAAGTATCTGATAAAGAACTTGAATGCAAAATATACAGGGTTTGGCAAAAGTAGATTTACAGTTGTTCACATGGAAAAATATTTAATAAATAATAATAAACTGTTCTGTGTACTCACAACTGTAAACCTGCCTTTGCCCAGCCCTGTATAATGAGCTCTCAAAATGCAATAATGAGAAACAACTCAATTTTTGAAAAATTAGCTAGAGTTGAACAGCTACTTCTTTAAAAAGATACACTAAATGGCAAATGTATATGAAAAGGTGCTTGACATCTTTAGTTAGAGAAATGCAAATTGAAACAACAATTTGATACCACTACACACCTACTATAATGACTAAAATTAAGAATGATCAGCTGGTGTCATTTTGGGGCTCAGCCCACCTGGTTTTCCAGATGACCTAATAAATTTATAATTCTTTAAAAAAAAATGAACAATGAGTATTAGTGGTATGTGGAATAACTAGAATTCTCATTACACTGAGAGTGGGAATAAAAAGTTTAGTAGTTTCTGAAAAAGCTAAACAAATAGCTACCATACAATCTAGCCATTCTACTCCTAGGTATCTACCCAAGAAACATGAATGCATATACCGATGCAAAATTTGACATACAAAGGTTAATATAACAGCTTTATTTCTAACAGCCAAAAAATAAGTACAATCAACACAAATAGGTGAATGGACAAACAGCATTACACTTATACACTACTACTCAGCAATAAGAATGAACTACAAATATCACACACATATTTGCAGTTTATTTATGTCATTCACATACCAATTAAGCTGTTTAAACTAATATATACTACCTACAATTATACACCACACAAATTACAAACAGCAAAGTGCACAGTGTCAAATGAAAACATGTATAACTACATATGCTAATCCTATAAAACCCCACTTGATACAATATCTTAGAAACATCTTTCGGAGCTTCTTTCATCATTAAAATTCCAGCCCGACTGGCACAGCTCAGTGGTTGAGTGTAGACCTATGAACCAGGAGGTCACAGTTTGATTCCCAGTCAGGGCAACATGCAGGCTCGATCCCCAGTGTGGGGTGTGCAGGAGGCAACCGATCAATGATTCTCTCTTATCGTTGATGTTTCTATCTCTCTCTCTTCCTTCCTCTGAAATCAATAAAAAATATATATTTCTTGAAATTCCATTCATTGAACCTTATTGATGAGTGACATACAGTTATCATATGTGTACATATATATAGTTAGCACTTCAACACATTGGCAATATTATAAATCAGAAAAAAACAAACAGCATAAATTCTGAAACATAAAATGAATGGGCTTTAGATACATTATATGAAAATGGGCAAAACTATGAAAAGGGTAGCTGCTGAGTTTAACACTTCTTTATTAATGTAATTCTCTAAATTTGAAGTAAAATAAATTCTGCATGTTGAAGTGAGAACCTTTTCCCTATATAGAAAAAAAGCCTTAAACAATACTCACTCCAGTGTTCACTAATTCACTTGGTGTTGGCCAATTCGCCATATCGCTGAAATCACTAGCCTAAGAAGTAATAAATAGGTGTTATGTCTGCAAATTAGAAATTTTAAGTAGAAAAAATATTTTCTAAAGGTGAAAGCAATTTTAAAAACCACCTACATTCAATTTATATGCAGGCATTTGCCAAATTAATCCAAGTTTTCCAAACATCAGAATACTGAAACAGTAAGGCCTTGGCCTATGATCTCTAGCACTATTTAATGACACTGACTAAATGTATATAAATAGGATTAATAGAAGGGAGTTTGTGTAAAAGCTACAATTCTGTAGTATATTAACTTCAAATTACCATGAATAATACAACTATAAGAAAAATTCACAATATAAGAAAATGATTTTTAAAATTAATATAGAGTACTGAAGAACTTCTTTGTGTAAAGACCTACCTTGTTGGATTTCTTTGTCTTGAGTTTTCCTGCTTTTATAATTTTTGGGGAACTGAGCTCTAAAAAAAACAAACAAAAAAAACACACACACATAGAATTGTTTTTACAATCACTTCATTCAATACATTTAATAAAGTAACCTTCTTGTATCTTGGACACCAGCATGCCATCCAGACTGAGGAAGACCCAGAAACTTCCAGGCCATGTGAGCCACAGCTATGGCTGCATTGACACAGGAAGCTCCTGGGAAGCCGAAGTAATCCTGGTGGCTTGCATAATCACAGGATCAACTTTTGACAAATATCACCCAGGTTACTTTGGGAAAGTCGGCATGAAGCATTACCACATAAAGAGGAACCAGAGCTTCTGCCCAACTGTCAACCTTGATAAACTGTGTACATTGGTTAGTGAGCAGACATGGGTAAATGCTGCCAAAAACAAGATTGGAGCTGCTCCTATCATTGATGTGGTGCAATTGGGTTACTACAAAGTTCTGGGGAAGGAAAAGCTCCCAAAGCAGCCAGTCATTGTGAAGGCCAAATTCTTCAGCAGAAGAGCTGAGAAGATTAAGGGTGTTCGGTGGGGGCCTGTTTCCTGGTAGCTTCATAACCTTTGGAGGGAAGTTCATAAAATGCTCAGAAGTGCTTTGAAGGGGGGAAAAAAAAACCACCAAAAAAGCCAAAGTAACTATTATAATACCAATTTAAGCAATAAAATCCAAATGAATTTTAAGTAATAAAATTCCCAATAAAATCCAAAGTTCTGAGACTCAAATTCCTAACAAGAAATCATCTACATTTCAGCAAAGGTATATTCAAATTGGTCTTCAGTGTTCAAAGCAAGAGGTGCAAAATATAGTTTACTTAAACTGAGACTAATCTTTTCTCTAACAAAACATAAGTTTGCACAAGAGTATCATGGAGCCCTAACCGGTTTGGCTCAGTGGATAGAGCATCGGCCTGTGGACTGAAGGGTCCCAGGTTCGATTCCGGTCAAGGGCATTTGGTTGCGGGCACATCCCCAGTGGGGAGTGTGCATGAGGCAGCTGATCGATGTTCTCTCTCATCGATGTTTCTAACTCTCTATCCCTCTCCCTTCCTCTCTGTAAAAAATCAATAAAATATATTTTTTTAAAAAAAGAGTATCATGGAATCACCACGTGTCCCTACCGTAAATAAGAGCACAGAAGTGAACAAAAATACATATTATACTGTCTCCAAATGAAGTTTCACAGTCTTTTAGTTGGCTTCACCACTTAGCAAGATAACCAAAGAGCAATGTCATCTACCTAAGCATGACCCACAAAAGAGTAAACATTAAAAGATTAAACTTGGAATCTGCACCACAGTAATAATAATACAGCAAAACATGAATCCCAAACATTATGGCAATAACCAAGTCATAAAATAAAAGTATTCGAATTAAAAGCCAGAAGCAAATTCAAATAAGATACAGATGGTCCCCGACTTATAATAGTTTGGTGCAAAAGCGATAAACATTAGGCAGAATTGTACTTCCAATTTTGAATGTGATGTTTTCCCAGGTTAGCGATATGCTATATAATACTCTAGTGGTGCTTGGCAGGGGAACTGCAGCTCCAAGTCAGCCCACACAATCACGAGTATAAAAAACCAATACTCTACAGCAGCGGTTCTCAACCAGTGGGTCGTGCCCGCTTTGGGGGTCGAATGACCCTTTCACAGGGGTCACCTACCAGTGGTTCTCAACCTTCCTAATGCCGCGACCCTTTAATACAGTTCCTCATGTTGTGGTGACCCCCAACCACAAAATTATTTTCGTTGCTACTTCATAACTGTAATTTTACTACTGTTATGAATCGTAATGTAAATATCTGATATGCAAGATGTATTTTCAGGGGTCGCGACCCACAGGTTGAGAACCGCTGCAAAACACATATAATTACATATTGTTTTTGTGATTAATCACTATGCTTTAATTATGTTCAATTTGTAACAATGAAAATAGCAACGAAAATAATTTTATGGTTGGGGGTCACCACAACATGAGGAACTGTATTAAAGGGTCGAGGCATTAGGAAGGTTGAGAACCACTGCTCTACAGCATACTAAATGTATTTCGACTTAGAATTGGTATCAGTATATAACCCCATCATCATAAATCAAAGACCATCTGTACTTACCACAGAGGGATGAAGGACAAAAGTTGAAGATGTCACCAGAAATGGGCTTTCAGGGATCTTGAATACTGTAATGATTCTATTTCTAAAGCAGAATAGTGTGCCCTACCTGATTTGGCTCAGTGGATAGAGCGTTGGCCTATGGAATGAGGGGTCCCAGGTTCCATTCCAGTCAAGGGCACATGCCTGGGTTGCAGGCACCATCCCCAGTGTGGGGCATGCAGGAGGCAGCCAATCAATGATTCTCTCTCATCATTAATGTTTCTCTCTCCTTCTCCTTTCCTCTATGAAATATTTTTAAAAAATAATAAAGCAGAATAGTGAATACACAAGTATTTGTTTTATTCTTCTTTATACTTTAGGCACACATATGTGTAGACATGTGTAAATATGCATAAGAATAAAATAAAAAAATTATATAGAGTAGTAAAAAAAAATATGGGCAAGTAGGACCAAAAAAAATGGGGGTAGAAAAAAAATAAATAAAAAATTATATTTGCCTGCTTATCTAGAATTTCACTGAAGCATGTTTTATAAGTACTATGTTTTATGAAGTTATATAATATAGTACATTCGGGGAACATTTCCCACAGGAAAATTAAAAACATGTCCCAAAATAGTGCTAAGTCAAGTAAATTTAAGTGCCTGGTACTTACAAAATACACCCTTATACAAACTATTTGATATAATGAAAAGTAAGAAGGAACAGGCCGCACAAGCAAGTTTTTATGGCTTTATTACAAGTTAGACATAAATCACAAAATTAAGGTCAGAAATTAAAGATAAAATTATTCTGACCACATACAAACAAAAGTAAACTTTAAAATTTCAATACTGGCCCTGACCGGTTTGGCTCAGTGGATAGAGCATCAGCCTGTGGACTGAAGGGTCCCAGGTTCGATTTCGGTCAAGGGCATGTACCTTGGTTGTGGGCACATCCCCAGTAGTGGGTGTGCAGGAAGCAGCTGAATCAATGTTTCTCTCTCATTGATGTTTCTAGCTCTCTATCCCTCTCCTTCTCCCTTCCACTCTATAAAAAAAAAAAATCAATAAAATATATTAAAAAATAAAATAAAATTTCAATACTGAATGACATGATGAATTATTAAGAAACTGGAGAGCCCTAGCCAGTTTGGATGAGTGGATGTAGCATTGGCCTGCAGACTGAGGGGTCCCAGGTTCAATTCTGGTCAAAGGCAACATGTCCAGGTTGCAGGCTCGATCCCCAGTGGGGGGCGTGCAGGAGGCAGCCGATCAATGATTCTCTCTCATTATTGATGTTTCTATCTCTTTCTCCCTCTCCCTTTCTCTCTGAAATCAATAAAAAAAATATATATATTAAAAAAAAATAAGAAACTGGAGAGCCCTAGCCAGTTTGGGTCAGTGGACAGAGCATCGGCCTGTGCACTGAAGGGTCCCAGGTTCCATTCTGATCAAGGGCACATGGCTGGGTTTCAGACTCCATCCCCAGTAGGGTGTGTGCAGGAGGCAGGCGATCAATGATTCTCATCATTGATGTTTTTCTCTCTTCCTTCCTCTCTGAAATCAATAAAAATAAAAAACCTGGAGAAAGGAATATTTGAATGTGACAGAGTTAATTTTTCTATTGATTTAAAACTCAGTATTATCACATACTCTATCCAGACACTGATTACAACCTCTAGCTAAAAGTAAAGAAGCTGGGGAGGACTGGGGGTGTGCCCGCAACCAAGGTACATGCCCTTGACTGGAATCGAACCTGGGACCCTTCAGTCCACAGGCTGATGCTCTATCCACTGAGCAAAACCGGTTAGGGCTCTTCACACTTTTAAAAGAAAAAGATTTTTATTTTAGTCAATTCTTTTGGATTAAAAAATTTTGGATTTTTGTTTAAACTTTAATCTTTCTTTAACTCCTCTATAATGGGGAAATTTTTACATTTAACAGTGGAATCTATTATGCTGACAGTTTACTAATGGAGTATCTTTATGTATACCTTGTAACTGGGATGTGCATATGCATTCTTCCTTACCATAATTTAATCTCATCACTGAGGATGTGATAAACTGTGTTGGCCAATGTGGTTGGATACTCTAGGATAGTGATTTCTTAACATTGGTTACTAAATGGCCCTTTGAGTTAGCTTACTTTTCCAAGAGGAAGACTTTCCTAAAACATTCCTGTTACAAAGCCCCAATTCCTCTCTTGGAAACAAGTTTCCTGATTAAGAAGTTTAGAAAAAGGCCCTAACCGGTTTGGCTCAGTGGATAGAGCATCGGCCTGTGGACTGAAGGGTCCCAGGTTCGATTCCGGTCAAGGGCATGTACCTTGGTTGCAGGTACATCCCCAGTAGGGAGTGTGCAAGAGACAGCTGATCGATGTTTCTCTCTCACCGATGTTTCTAACTCTCTATCCTTCTCCCTTCCTCTGTAAAAAATCAATAAAAATATTTTTTTTTTAAAAAGTTTAGAAAAAGAACTGAACTTTCAAAGCCAGCACTTTTTCCCTTTAAAAGCTAGCTATCCACAACTGCTCCCTCATGCTGTCAACTTTACAGGGGCAGGCTCCCAGAGATAGAAAAGGGAGGGTGGGGAGGGGAGGGAATTTCACTTGTGAAATGCCAACTGTGTGAACACCATTCCTCTAATTCCAAGTTCAACATCAGGAAGTCCTTTGAGTTGCCTACTTAGACCACCGCATCAACCCAATCTTAGTATGGTTGAAAGGATGATCATGAGCTTAAAAGCCCTAGCCAGTTTGGCTCAATGGATAGAGCATTGGCCTGCGGAACAAAGTGTCCCGGGTTCAATTCCAGTCAAGGGCACGAACCTTGGTTGCAGGGTCCTCCAAAACCAATCGATGTGTTTCTCTCATATCAATGTTTTTCTGTCTTTCCCTCTCTCTAAGGATCAATGGAAAAATATCCTCAGGTGAGGATTAACAACAACAAAGAATCTGAGTGATCCAAAAAGAAATACAAATGGTCAAACATGAAATGGTACTCAATTACACTAATAAATAAATGCACTAAAACAACAAAACATTTTTTCACCTATCATACTGACCAAAAAAAAAGAAAAAAAAAAGAATGCCAAGTGTTGGTCAGCCTATACAGAAATGGACATTTCCCTCAAGTTGTTGGCAAGAGTGTGTAGTAGTATAATCTTTTAATATAGTATATACCTTTTCCCCAGCCAGTATGGCTCCTATGCACCAGGAGATCACAGTTCGATTCCCAGTCTGGGCAGATACTGGAGTTGTAGGCTCTATCCCCAGTCATGCAGGAGGCAGCCAATCAATGATTCTCTCTCATCATTGATGTTTCTCCCTTTCCCTTCCTCTCTGAAGTCAATAAAAATATGTCATATATATATATAGTACTAGAGGCCCAGTGCACAAAATTCGTGCATGGGTAGGGTCCCTAGGCCTGGCTGGCGATCAGCCCTGATCAGGGCCTTCCAGCT